TATTAAAGAAAGGGATACATAAGAATCTCTTGATAATGTCATCCAATCGTGACGGGGGAAAGGGGATTATGGAAATGGTAAGGCTCAGATCAGGCTCAGATTAATAGGCTGCTAAGACCGGCAATCTTAATAATTCGAAATGCACGTTGCAAAAACAAAAACAAAAAAAATAAATAAAAAAATAAAAACTTTTGGAAGCTTACCGCGTCAGTACGCGTTCAGCAGGACTCCGTTCACCCTTAAGGCCTGTTCACACATGCAGCGGAGCGCTACAAGCATAGCGCTTACCTCGCGCTAAGCGCGTGCTGACGGGAGCGTTCATCAGCTTTGTATCGCACCGTCAAAACTGTTGCTCATGGCAGACGATAAGTAGCTGACGGCACGTGAGAAGCGCTACATCAGCGCTCCGCTGCATGTGAGAACCGGCCTTAAAGCTAAGACTAGAAGTGCGAGTTTCCTGCCCTTTTCTAACACACGTGTGAACGCGCAGGCAAGCGTAACCAAGGCACTGCGGAAGCCAGCGAGCTCCCGCTGAAGGTGGAGCTTCTATAGTCTGGTAAACGAGGTGGCCGCCACTGTTAACAGTGGCGGCCACTCCGTTTACCAGACTAGAAGCTCCACCTTCAGCGCGAGCTCGCTGGCTTCCGCAGTGCTTTCGTTGCGAGCAGCGGTTCACGTTTGTGAATTGACAAACGTGAACCGCTGCTCGCGTCCTAACCGATCGCTCCGCCTTTGCAAGCCCGTCGAGTTTGCTTATGTCACCGGTGCTAGAAAGCATAAATGCTACACGGGCAGCAAAGTTGCTGGTTTAGCGAGGGCCTCCGGCTGTACGATTTAAAGCGCAACACCACTCAATTCCGAAGATTTCGGTATAATGAGTGATTTCGCATTGAAAAGCACTAGTAAAAGACACTACGTCATTTGCTTCGCGAAGAATGGGATATATATTGCTAAATATCATTTTAAACGAGCAGAAATCGAAGTCGAAACATCGGCTCAGTCCGGCAACATTGGCCTCGGGCCGCCCAAGAACATGGCTATCACGTGGTACGAAATGTCACGTGATCCTCTACGCAACGACGGGTGGGGTTGGGGCTGGTGTGTGTTAAAGACGCAGGTGTCGTATGCACCACACTCATCACCACGTTTTGGTGTCTACGACATTCGACAACGTCTGCACGTCTGCGAACGGAGAGTCCGTATAGTGTGAACGAAACTCCGAGAGACAATAATCATAAACATTGAGACGACGACGGCGGTAACGACGGGACCCATATAGAGTTATTATGACGTACGCTAGAGATTCAACTGGCGCTAGTGCGCTGCGGCAAATTGAAGCAGACAGCAACCAGTCAGAAATTGACTTCCCGTAATGCATTAAATGAGAAAAATTGAGTGCATTTTCAACCTGCGATCAATTATAATATCAAATATCCCGAATATCTCGTACGAACTAGGTTGATAAGAACATTTCTCAGCCAGGCAGACGAAGTAAATGGTCAGTTACGGCGTGATGATTTAAAATTCGTGGCATTAAAGACGGCGCCATAACGGCTTCGTACATGCATTTGCGCACTGCCGGACACTGCTAAGGCGAACACGCCGCCGGCGCTTTGCGCCTGAGGGGTATACGTGCCAAACGAACGAAGGACATGTGGAAAACCAAGAGAGATGGCAAGAACTACGCAGTAACACTAGGTTGGTAACTCCTTGTGCGGGCAGACGATAAATATAGATTGAAGGTCACGTAATATAGTCCGATTTACAATAAATAAGCCCTTCTTTAATCTTTTTGCTCATGAATATGCGCGAAAACGCTGGTTCTGCATTTAAAACATCACCCGCACGCTCGAAATCTTTGAAAATAGGGAAAAGCCCGAAAACAGGAAGGTTCCCGATAGAAGCTGCTCGACATAGGAAGTAATAAAATGACACACCTTGCATAGCCCACACACTTTATCATTTACGATTCCAATGCTTTTAGAGCGCAGCTCTTAGGGCGCGCCAGTTTCCGTGTTTCGCGGCGTCGGCGTAACCGCGCTAAATTTAGCGGGAAAATTGACGTCACGTGACCTCAACACCAGTCAATTCCCCGCTAAATTTAGCGGGGGATTTAAACGGTGTTGAGGTCACGTGACGTCAATTTTCCCGCTAAAGTTAGCGGAGAAACTGAATTTGTTCATAGGTGACGTGACACCAAGTCATCTGACGTCATTTACGTCGCTAAATTTAGCGGGGAAACTGAATTGGAGGAGGAGGGGAGAGGAGGGGATGAAGGAGGAGAGGGTACGGAAGAGAAGGAGGAGGAGGGGTATACCCTCCCCTCCCCTCCTCCTCTTCAAGAGCTGCGCTCTAATTTCCCATTACAGAGATTTGTAAACGTCTTTAATTTTTTAACCTCTCATAAAGGCATGACGGGGTCATTGGCATATAGCGACAGGACGGATGTACAAAATATGCAAGCTCCACGAGAACGCTGGCGATGCTGAACACATTTTAAGTTCCTTTCGATTGTACTTAGAATTGTCGCTTGTTTTTTCATACCTGCTATGAAACGGAGTTTGGGCCTGAAATATAGCGAATTTAAACATCGTTCAGTGGTCACGAAAAATGCTGTATTTAAAGAAATTACACGCTTACATCGCTATAGCAAAAGTGCATACTATTTGGTACGACCCAAACAACAAAAGTTGCCTATGTTATTTTCCGGCGAAGAGACAAAATGCCGCGCGTTTTTTCCCATAGGAATTCACAGGAGAACCGCAAAAGTAGACTGGTGGCTGTCTGCTTCGATTTGCATCCCGGATGTCGCATAGACACTCGCGGCAGTTGAACCTCTAGCATAAATTACAATGACTCTACGGCGGGACCACAGCGGGACGGCCGGACGGCTTTCAAAAAGCGTGCTGCGCAGGTGCGTCACGCCAATTACGTGGACATCGCTGAGCGCCGAGAGGAAACGTTGCTGACGTCATCTGCTACGCTCGCCCGGAGAAGTAGAGGCAAGCGAAAGGGAGCAATGGTGATGACGTTTAGCTCAATGTTGGCTGCGCCCACGCCGGAGCCTTGATTGCGCTGTTGGTCGCGCCTCAGCTCAGCCGCTCGAGTCAGTCGATTTCGGCAACCTGACGTGTTGCAAAGTTTGAACTAGGTCGTAATATTTGACATGTGGTCTTCTTATGTGATGCTGAAGAGGATTGCGTTGTTTTTCTCAAAAACAGAAATGAAGCGGGGTTGCCCCTTAACGTCTTAAAATATAAAGTTAATTAAATATATATATATATATATATACCAGATTTCGCGCTTCTTCTTTTTTTTTTTGTCATTCACCTGGAGATTTGGTGGTTAAATGTTTCATCGACGTTTCAAGCAGCGGTGCTAAGGTGGGCTTTGCAGATTATTTTTACGAACTGAAAGTCATCTGGGACGTCAACGACTGAAGCACCGCCTGGTGGCGTTTGCAAAAAAAGGGTCTATATTCACAAGTGATTATTAGAATATTTTCATTGCTGTTCGGCTGCCCTATTAGAACATTCTAATAAACGTATAGTTAACATGGTAAGTTCGGCTAGTTGGTTACTCGACACTGGATAATGAGGAGAGCAAGTCGTTTGTTCCTTGCGAAGGAGTTGCGAGGACTTCAGAACTATACCGAGCTCTGATTGGCTTTGATTGGAAGGATGACGGGTAGACCTCAATGCTAGATGCCTTAACGTCTACCCACTATATATATATATATTTTTTTTTTCAATCAGCCAATGAGAACTCTGCGTTCTGGCACCATGGCAGCCGCTGTGCAAGAAGCAGAGAAGCAGACGAACCCGCATAAGCCAAAAGACAGGTACAAAACGAAGGAAGTTCTGGACAGGACGCGGCGTAAGATCTTCCAGTCTATTACAATACATAATATTGTGTGGGTTTAGAATAACTCTAGAAATTAAATGACCGAAGAAACATGAGGATTGTGGCAATGTCCCGCGTGTAAAAAAAAGAAAAAAAAAGAAAAGAAGCTCGACTAAGGACATAACAAAGTTGAAAAGATATGGAGAAAAATTTGGCATAAATAACGAAAATATTAGACGTAATACCTGCGAAAAAAAAAGAAAGAAAGGCGGATAGCCCTTTTTCAGTCGAACGAACCGTTGACAATATGCAGCAGTCTATGCACAACGTGTCCGATAAGACAGTGAAGTACTTGAATAAAAATATAAAGGTAGTAAATAACTGAAAAAATGCGAGGGGGACCAAAATAGTTAAACACAGTGGGACACAAAATAGTTGAACTAAGGCTGAGAGTAAGTGAGCTTCAGCAATAAAGTCAAAGACAGAACCTCGATGTGCTCAGAACTCCCATTGGGACCATTACGTGGAAGTTTTTATTACCAAGGTTAATTAACCTTCCTGTCTATCTCTATTGTTTTACCTTCCATATTTTTATAGTTAGATCCTTATTAGGACAAGTTCTTTCTTAGATTTTCTACTAAAAAAAATTCACCACCTACATTTACTTTCAAAATAAATTAATGTCGCAGCAGCCACAGGCAATGATAGCTCCGTTGTTTATAATAAAGGAAATCCATATATTTCCCCCCTCCCCCAGTAAATCAAACGCTGCTCTCGGTCGAGTTTGACTTACTTTACGTGAATATACGTGTTCCCTGTCGTGCTTCCTATGACCTGTGCCAAGTTACTCGAATTGGACCAGGAACATCGGAAGTGTTTCGGAGATTGGGGAGGACTTCTCTCCCCCGATCAACTTTTACTGGAAGGGTCCGAAACGTCTGTGAGGTGATTGTTCCCTTTTTAGGCCACTCTGTTCCGACCCCACTAAAGTGTTTTTCACCCGGGGCGTACAAAACACCGATAATAATATATGTACCGTGATTGGCGTTTGTACCTCGACGTAAGCCCCTGCAACCTACGCGATGTTGATTTGGTTTCATGCTTTTGCAATTTCCAGAGCAAAAAGACGCCCGGGATCAATTACCGAGGCGTTTTGAATGGCCTATTGGAAGACCGTCATCCCCCGACAGACGGTATTATTATGGCTCACAAGCTTCTTCCTGTTGACGCTCCTAGACAAATCCGGCGTCTTCGAACGCTTGCAAGAGACGCCCTACTCGGACTACTCGTATCCCCCAGAAATCGATGCCAAACACCTCCTGCGGCTGCTCGGAACGGGCAGAGAACCCGCGGCCTACAGAGTTCAGAACCACTACGAGCGGTACGTCTTCAAGATCAGCAACGAACTCAAGTGTCACGTTCCTGGAAACCGGACGTCCGTACTGATCGTCGTCAAGTCTGCCGTAGCCCACCAGTCACGTCGAGACACGATCCGCCAGACCTGGGGACAAGAAGGCCGCTTCGAGGACGTGGACCTCCGACGCGTGTTTATGGTTGGTGTGAAAGCAAATGACAAAACCGCACAGAGAGCCTTGGACGCCGAGCATGCCCTTCACGGTGACCTCGTACAGGCGGACTTCATCGACGCCTACTACAACAACACCATCAAGACGATGCTTTCCTTCCGTTGGGTTCTGGAGCACTGTTCCGACGTCCAGTGGATCTTTTTTGTAGACGACGACACTTACGTATCCGTGAAGAACCTAGCCCAATTCGTCCGAGACTCAATGAACCCGAAAGATCGGCACTTGGTGGGCTATGTCTACGACGACGACCCACCGTACAGGGCCCACTGGAGCAAGTGGTACGTGTCCTTGTCCGAATATCCCTACAGCCGGTACCCTCCGTTCGCGGTCGGTTGTTTGTACTTGGTTTCGATGCCTGCGCTCAGGGAACTCTACCAGGTGGCCCGGTACACGCGGCAGTATCGTTTCGACGACGTCTTTGTGGGCATCGTGGCAAGAAAGACTGGACTGCGGCCGGTGCACAGTGACAAGTTTCGAGACAAGAACCCAGCCAGGAGGCCCGAAGATTTCGTGGGGCTCGTGGCCTCTCATGGATTTCATGACAGTGTCCACCTGGTTCGAGTTTGGAAGCATCAGAAATGCTTAGGGAATGCGTGAGACAGTCAGTGCACAGATCTCGGTCAAGGGGTAGAACGTAACTGAGCGGGTATTTATTATTTTGCTGTCGATAGACTGCTTATTCGCGGCGAGAACCATGCTGAAGGGCGCCACTGAGCAGCACGTGAATGTCACGGAATACCCGGGATGGGAGGATGCCCGGTATGTTCACATCGCGCGCGCCATAGCGGTGCAAAGCGATTTGCTTACTTTCGGACGCGGCGCGGTGGTTAATTACTGTTCTTTCACCAGTGGCACAACTTACGCGACCAAAAGAGGTCTAATACCCCATTCACACGGTCAACATAAAGGTATCTTTAAGATAGGTCCCTTTGCTATCGACGAATCAGCCCGTGCTCTTGGGTCATGATCACACGCCACGCGCAGAAGACCGTTAATTGATTGGCCGCAGAGAATAAAGGTCCCTTAGCTAAAGGTTCCTTTACGGTCGTGTGACTGGGGTATTAGTACTTATCCATATCCAAGAGAAAAGCAACTGGAGAAGTAGAGATCCGGTTAAAACAGGGCAAACAGGTTTGGGCGAGCGCGGTGGCCTGTTCGAACCATTTATCAGGTGTTTTCATGACGAATCGTGTGTTTTGTATCATGTTTTGATTTTCTCTGCAAGTCTCTTTTTTGTCCTTTGTATGAATTCCACTGGCGGGCCTCGGCGCCAACGATAATCCGATAATCCGCCTTTTTTTTTACCCCGCACCTGAATTCCTTCCTCCGTGTCGTCCGTGTCACCTGTCGAGATGCAAAATTGTAAAAAACGAACAGTCTTCTTTAAGTTGTCCGAAACAAAAGGACGCTCCTGTGTCTGCTGAACAAATCGCGTCCCAAGGATCTCGTATTCGAGAGAGTCTAGCCTATTTACGGTGCAGTGTTGTGATCGAAAAAAAAGAACAACAAAGAAACTTGTGCTGAATGTTTCACTATTTCGCGTACATGTAGACGACGCTGTTATATATATATATATAAATATATATATATATATATATATATATATATATATATATTTTAAGATAAAACGTTTTGCTGATTGTTCATGCTCAGTACTACGAGTGTTAATTATTCTAGACGGCTTATGGCCAGGGCAAAATGTCATTAACTACTGACTGTGGTCCTAGGCTGGGTTGCATTTTATTGACAGTAATTATAACTTGACCGCCAAAGTGTTTTTTTTTACTCTCAGGCCAGATATAAAAGAATGCCACATCTCCTTTCTTCATTATTTTATCCGTATGGTCATCACATAACATCCACATCTGTACAATGTCTCAAATAGCTGTAATTGTAGCCCTAGCTTTCAATCAATTGATTTGTCAGTTTACATACACGATATTAGCAAAATGACACCTCAATAAAGAATATTTGACAAAACGATTTCCCCTAGAAGCTCGCCTGTTTCTTCTTTTTGATTGTCTAAAATTATTTTTTTTGTGCGCTTTTGTTGGACTGAGTTCGAGTTCGGCTTTTGAATTGTATGCCTCTTTAGAATGCACCATTTCTTTTAGCATCAACTCTGTAAGGACTCAGTCATCTACATTTTATAGGCTGGGTGAATTCACTTCACTGTAATTGCCAAACTAATAAACGTGGTGTTGCTGCTGATTTTATTAAGCCCTAAGCCCGGGGTGTGTATAACAGGCAATGGGTGCAGTAATGCCCTTAATTGTTAAAAAAAATGAAACAATCTGAATAGAAAATTTGTAAGTATATTTCAAAGGAGGAAATAAGGACAGCGATGGTGCCATTGGTTGTTCTCCAAGGAAGTGGGACAAGAATTTTTTTTCAAACTCTCAATTAAAGTTTGCATAAAATATGCAAATTTAAAACATTAGGTAGGTAAAGGAGCTAAGCGTCTTCACCATGCATAGCCGATGACAAAAAAAAAAAAAGAAAGAACACTTTAGTTAGCAGCATTGAAGCTTGGGATGAAAAAATGAAAGACGTTTACAACACCCTGTGATAGCGAATCAGAGCGCAGCTCTTGAGGAGGAGGAGGGGAGTGTACGGAAAAGGAGGGCATGCCCCTCCTCCCCCGCCGTAAACTCGCCTCCTCCCCTCCTCCTGGTCTTCTCGTCCCCCTTCCTCCCTCCTCCTTTCCTTCTCCTCCCCTCCTCCATCCTCCTCCCCCCCCCCTCGTTCCCCTCCCTGGCTCTCCCTCTTGACGTCGCTCGTGACCCTCGGGACGTCACTCGTGAAGGTTTTGTGAAGTGAAGGTAACGTGAAGGTCGTGACCTTCACGTGACTTTCACTGTGAAGGTCGTGACCTTCACGAGTGACCGTGACGTCATTTTGAAAACTTTCTTATTATGCAACACGCCGGACCCTCGTAACATCAGTTGTGACGTCACGTGCGACGTCATTATGGTAAACGTCCCATAGGGTAAACGCGTTGCATCATGGGATGTTTCCCATAATGCAACGCGCGGGACCCTCGTGACGTCACTCCTGACGTCACGTGTTATTATGGGACGTTTCCCATGTTGCAACGCGCGGTTACGCCGACGGGACGGCGACAGCTACGCCGCTCAAGCCGGAAACGGGCGTCTAAGAGCTGTGCTCTAAAAGTGAAATTTGGGTTTTAGAGCGCAGTTCTTAGGTGTCCGTTTCCGGCTTGAGCGGCGTCGCCGTCGGCGTAACCGTGCGGTGCATTATGGGAAGTTTCCCATAATGACGTCACGCGTGACGTCACAGTCACTTGTGAAGGTCGCGACGAAGGTCCTCCTCCGTACCCGCCCCTCCTCCTCTTCAAAAGCTGCGCTTTAATTCGGCATTATAAAGAATAATAAACGTTTTTAATTTTTTTTTACGTGCCACACCAACGACGTGCAAATCGCGTTGACCCGACCCGCCCCAGCGAAGGACTGAGGATTAATTTCGACCACCTGGGGATCTTTTGGCGTGCAACTGAAAGCTCGGTTACACGGCACCAATATATAAAAAATCGTTGCTCCTCCGCAATAAGCCTCCGTCAGATTGCGGACGATTCGGCCGGGATTCGAACCAGCCACCTGGGGATCGAAGACAATTCCAGACGAAGTAATCGTCCGCGACAAATGCAAAAGCATCCTATAGAAAGAAAAAGGGAAGACAAATGCAAAGTTTCTAGTGAGACAGCCAAGCTGAACGAAAGCCCATTCAGCTCAAGCGGCGTCGGGAGCGTCGGCAGTCCTCCCTTTGGGTTGTGCCGGGCTTCCATAGTAAAAGTTGCGACAACTCATGTATCGCCTAATACCTTACCCTGTGTTACTCCTTCTGCACATGAACAGTTTAGAAAGCATTTAACACTGTCCAACGTTGGTGGCTTACGCGATTGAATAATTTATGTTTATTTTTATCACTGGTTACAAGATTTCGAGTGTCATGTTTATAAAAAACAGTCTAGAGGTTGTTTAAATGAATTATAATTGCAACACTAAGGCAAATAATTTTGAGGCAAAAAAAAGCTATTATGAAGGTTATAGTTTTTATTACTGTACTTCTGGAAATTTGTAATCTTTGCGTGTCTAATTTGATCTTTTAGAGATTTTATATTAAAAATATTCAAAGAGGTTTATTTTTTAGTTCTTTCTAATTACTTCACCCTCGCAAACGTCCGAAACGTGCTTGAGGGGAATACGCCATGGTTATATATACGGCAACTTTCATTCACCGAGTCTATAAATTGCAGGCCAGCGAGGTTCAGACACATTTCATATTTACTTTCATAACCTTCTTTTTTATTTATCGGGAGGTGGGTATAAGTTGAATTTTGTTTCCACTGTGCATATAGGCCTTTCGACAGCTATATTGCACCCCTCATCCGTCCAACTATTTACGTCACTGCTGCTATTTGCTCTTTCCATTTTCTGGGTTTGCCTAACAAATCTTCTTGAACCTATCCAATACTATGCAACCCTATTAATGGGCAGCAATTATTAGAGCAATCTATTAGATCGTCCCACTTTTTTTTTAAAGTTAATCGACGACATTCTCATTGCCTTAAGTATCAGACGCTGTCAACTTTAGATACTGCTTGAGACATCAGATAGAATAGTCACTGAGAACTCAAGAAAGGCAGGGCGTGGCGAATTTCGAGCATCTCATTAACTATCCGCAGCCAATGAGAGTGCGACATTTAGCAGATAAGAACCCCTAATAGCCAATCAGAAAGCGAGAAGCCTGAATGTATCAAGGTGCAACGCCACCGTGCATGACGTTTTTGTCCTTCTTTAACGGTTTATAACTTTGTATCTGTATCCTACAGTCATAAAGTTATATGTCGAATTAAAGAGCTGGTTTTCAACTAGGTTTATTGTCTCAATAAACCTAGTTGGATCATTTAGAAATCATAAAATGGATCATTTAGAAATAAGCCTTTCTTCTTTCGTAGATATACAAGACGTGAACCAGTTGTGGAATCAATTCAAAAAGATAATACGTTACTGTCTTGATAAGTTCGTTCCAAAAAAAGTGAAACGTGTTGCAAAGCAAAACCCCTGGGTAACGAGAGAGATAATTCATCTCAAGCGTAGAATAGCACGTCAACGAAAGAAAAAGCCGCGTAATAAAACTACAATCCAAGAGATATCTCGTATTCTTAAAGATAAACTAAAATCTGCAAAGGAACGATACTTTACTGAGGTCATGCCTGAATTTATAAGAACATCACCTCGTAGGTTTTGGCGTCACCTCGCGCCGTCGAGAGATAGTGTGCAGTACGTGGCTCATGACAATCATGTCATCACTGATCCAGGTGAAATGGCGAATTCGTTTAATGATTTCTTTCAGTCAGTTTTCTTAGACAATTGTGACCTCGCCGAAAATGCTGGTGAATTTAGTCATGAGTCACACTCGAATATGCCAGAATTGCAAGTTACAGAAGAGGGTATCTTTGCGCTACTATTAGATATGGACACAAAGAAAGCAGTCGGTCCAGACGAAATACCCAATACCTTCCTAAGGCGCTACGCCGAGTGGGTCTCAAAATATCTTTTTGTTATTTTTAGTGC